CGACACAATTCAAGGTTCTTAGCAACAAGATGAATTCGGAACACAAAGATTTGCATGAAATCACTCTCGAAGAAATCGAAACAGTTTCAGATGGTAAGTTAATTGCTTCGACATTGAAGATTTTTTGCTAGCAAAGAGCTGAAATCAAGTCAAAAAGAATAGTATTTAAATCATGAACTAAAGTAATTATAGACCAACTTAAAAAATGCTTGAAACTATTAATTTAAAGAACGGCAAAGTTGATCGATATATTTCTAATATTAGGGCTTCCTATAGCAACATCAGAGGCATAAAGAACAACAACATGAAAACCAAAAAGAATCTCGAAATCCACAGTCGAATCAATATCAATGTTACTCAATGCCATAATCGAGAAAAGGTAACGAAACAGGTAAAAAAAATATTCTAAAAATCACTTATAAAAGTTAAAAAGTCATTGTCTCATCTTGATCTTAAAACCTGATGATTTCATCTCAGTTAGTCAACTAAGACCCCTCAAGAGTGCTTTTTTTATACTTAGATTAATACCTAGCTATTTAACACTTCTCTTTCTATCAACTATTCTAGATTTTCTTTAAAACTATTTAAAAAATAACAAATGTTTAAAACATGTAAAATTCTAATCAATATATTGGTCTTACGTGATTTACAGACGAAATTAACATTTGTTTATTCAATCGAAAATTATGAATATGAAATTCTTCATTTTGTTTCGATTAGAAAAGCGTCATAATAATTGTCTTTCTCACTTACTAGGTACATTGAGTATTGTCTAGTATCCGCAATAAAATAATTTATTTGAGTCAAATCGTTTACATCTAATCGTTTAAATCAGCTCTTTGAAATGTGATTTGTTATCGCTATCAATTTTTTNCTCATCGTGGATAGATTTCGACAGACATATATGTAATCTACTTCAGTTTTCTCAGATACTAAAAGGCAACCGGATTTTTTGTGTGACTATTTAAATGCACAAAATAATTAATAGATCTCGATGAGTTGACTTAGTTTATCTGATAGAATCTTTGATACTAACTTACATCAAATGTTTCTTAGACAGGATGAATAACTTGAAAATGCTGCTCGAAATAAAAGTGCTATTTCATTTATAAGTCGTAAGACCACTTTCCGAACTATATATTCATTCTATGAATTGAAAACTAATACAGTTAACTTACACCTATATCAAAAACGAAACTTTTATCCTCATTCTTCATCGGTTTAGTAACAAAATCTAAAAAAAACGAAAAAGAAATATATCACAAAAACAAGTGAATTTAAGTATAATAGCTCTGAAGAAAATCTTCGGATAAGGTTTTATACAAGTTATCAGCGAAATAATAACATCAGATATGAAATAACGTTGAAATCAAGGAATAGTGAATCATGCAAAGAATGAATAGATCCGTTAATAATTCTTGTATGTTTGTTTGACTATGAGCAGCAAAGAGAAAAATATCTTTTAAATATTCATAGATAATATGTCTGCCACTGACTGCTACAAATCTTCGATCAACTTATATGAAAACTGCAACCATTCGTCTCATGGATGCTTTTGAAAATCTAACAGACTCCGAAAGAACCGACGCCTTTGATATTGTTTTAGAATGCTTACATGAATCTTTTGATCAAAATGGATTGACAAAGGAAGAAATTGCTACAATAAAAGCATATACGCTTGGATGCGGAATTTATCCATTACTCAATGCAGCTCTTCGTAGTAAAAATATTAAGAAGATTCAACCATGGTTTCCTTATTTGAAACTTCTCGATATGGCTGTCAACAAATTGCCTCCGGTGCCTGGAACGTATTGTCGTGGATTAAATGCCAACATAAGTCATCTATATACAGTTGGTTCGATAGTAACTTGGGTATGTAAAATAATTGAAAATGTTTTGTTGCTCAGTAAAACTAAAATTTATTTTAGTTTTATAAAAGAAAGAAATCTCTTCGAAGTTACTCAGAATAACAAAAACTCCGATGATGTTAGGGGCACAGCTAGATACTTCTTATAGCTCTCGTTATCAGTCTCATTTTCAGTTGTTAACAAACAGAATATGTCTTTTTCATTAGCCTATACATTTTGATTTACTTTACTTTTATTTTCGTAATAGTGGGGCGTCTCATCACTGTCCAAAAGAAATAATACATGTTTATATTTTGCTACTGACTTTGCTGATGAAGATCCAATTAGTAATTTTTTTGTGATTAAATCATTCTCAGCAAGGAACATATCAGCTTTTTCAATGTTTTCTAATGAACAAGAATTTATTTTATTACCGGCAACACAATTCAAGGTTCTTAGCAACAAGATGAATTCGGAATACGAAGATTTGTATGAAATCACTCTCGAAGAAATCGAAACAGTTTCAGATGGTAAGTTAATTGCTTTCACATTGAAGATTTGTTTGTTAACAAAGAGCTGAAATCAAGACAAGAATAGTATTTGAAATATGAACTAAAGTAATTGAGAATAACTTTAAAAAATGCTTGGAACTATCAATTTAAAGAACAGCAAAGTTGATCGAAATATTTCTAATATTAGGGCTTCCTATAGCAACATCAGAAGCATAAAGAACAACAACATGAAAACCAAAAAGAATCTCGAAACTCACAGTCGAATCAATATCAATGTTACTCAATGCCATAATCAAGAAAAAGTAACGAAACAAATAAAAGAATGTTCTAAAAATCACTTATAAAAGTTGAAAAGTCATTGTCTCATCTTGATCTTACGAGGGAAGGTCACCAACTGTTCAATCGCTTTTGCGTTGAAACTATTTGCATTATGTAGCTCCAAAGGAGTTATGAATACTCTGAAAAAATTTTGCTCACCTAGTTTATTGTTACGAAAATATTCCGTTTGTAAGGTGTAGTTTTTAATTAGTCCTGTGATCCTCCTCAGGAACATCGGAAAAATTGATTTTCGAATTTNGACGAATGAAATCTTGGATGAGTGTTTGTTCATTCAGCATAATTTTTGTAACAATCGATAAAATATTCTTCTAGTAAGCACACAGGCATACGTTTTAAGAGGTTTAGAGAATATTACTAAAAGTTTTCAATTGATCCAGTATCACTCAATATAGTTTTATCGGGTACTGTAGCCAAATACGAAAGTATTATAGTGTGAGACATCAACAATGAATAGGACAAACAGAAGACTTTACTTTAGAAAACCATTGATGAATGGGTCGCCTTTCAATGAAGATGAATCCACTTCGGTAAAAAGCATGCTTCTGCTATGACGAAGAAGTCCACAATGTCATTCTTATCTTTCGATGCAGAGCAAACCTTCTCAACATTGCATATTCCAGTGGCTCAAGGGATGAAAAACTTTCCTCAAATCGAAAAGTCTTTGAAAAAGATTGTAATATGAACTGAACGCATTTATTCGGTCGCAGCGAAAGACATAAATAAAACTATATTGAGTGATACTGGATCAATTGAAAACTTTTAGTAATATTCTCTAAACCTCTTAAAACGTATGCCTGTGTGCTTACTAGAAGAATATTTTATCGATTGTTACAAAAATTATGCTGAATGAACAAACACTCATCCAAGATTTCATTCGTCGAGTGGAAGAATCTGTGGCAGGTCGTATGATACCAGTACCACCAATTGGGTATACAAGTTGGCACTGTAAACATGAAATGCAATAGTCGCGACGCTCACTCAAGAAAAGCAGACATTTTTATAGAAATGAGGAAGTAAAATGATATCAAAAGTTGTTTTTTTGTTTCTTAATTCAATATTTCTCGCCATTAAAACTCCTTTTTTCTTTGCTTCAACGTGTTCAGTCGCCTGAAAATTTTTTTTAGCAAGAGAACTGTTTTCAACAAGTGCCATGCTTTGAGACTATCAAAAACTAATCCTTTGATAATCCAGAATATTTTAGAATTGACGATGGTTTGTGTGGATTCGAACGGCTATGTTAGAGTAGTGCACTTTGAGAGTTTATAAAGTTATTGGGAGAGATCCAAGCGTCTCGCTGATTACATTATTGACAATTTTCGTTAGGCGCTCAAACTCATTCCTATTAGCTCTTGCTGTTTTCCAAATAACTTGATGAATTGTGAAAGATATATATTTTTGACTTTAATGTTGGTAGATTCGGTCTCCTCGAATTGAATAGTCGAATGGAAGCAATATTCAACCCACCTACTCACCCCATGCGTTTTTGCAGTGCGAAAGAGATGCTTTTAGACCATTGGAAGAAAATGTTAAAATAAACAGTTAACTTAGATTCGTTGTGTCTGGTACATCAATAAATCAATTTATTAGACAATGACAACATACTCATTGCAGGGAAAATAAATTCAAAAGTCAATCGGTAAAAAAATAATGTCAAATGGAATACTTGTTTCTAAGGCAAGATCAGTATTGCAGTGACGATGTGATCGATCAGTGTTCTTCCCTGATAGACCGAGGTGCTGTGAAATTAGAACGACTGAATATGTGATCTACTAGACGTTTTGCCATGGAACGTCGTGAACAATGAATTGAAGACTAGTCGACTGCTCGAACTGTTTTTTATTTCTACTTTGATGCATAAACATTGAATAATTCCTCTCACGAAATTGCACTAAAGAAGCAGGCGGGCAGTTTTGAACAAGTCTCAAACCTCAGGACTATAACTTAGTCGGTAACTAAAATGAACCACATCAAACTGTTTGAGAGTGTGCATGAGTGGACGGATGGGTAAGCGAATAGGGAAGACTCTCATCCATTCACTTCTGATGTGAAATAGTTACTACACAACCATCATTGGTTCTCTTGCATAGGAATAGTAATCTGGCGAACTCGTTTCCAAGAATAAGAAGCTAATTTTCTTTTTGGAACTCGAAATTGATGACGGACATAAAAAGACAACGGGTCTAAAACCTCTTGTGAATCTAGACAATCCATAATGAAAAATATTTACTAGAAGAAAAGGAAGAATATGTATTTTTATTCTGTTCTGTCTCGTCCGACAAGTATAGACATACGTGTTTTTCAATCAACGAATCCACATTTGAATAGAATGATGCCAGCGTGGATCTTTTCCAATCTTCCATGTTGGCGGCAACTGATGTTCAAGCCATTTGACAAGTTCCTCGTCTCTCGACAATGATAAACCATTGAATTCATCCAACTGGTTCTCTTGACACTGGATATTCAATGCTCGGAGATTACACATTCGATTGACGAGATCAAGAATACTCTGTCGATGTTTAACTCGAATAAACAGCACTTCACATTGTATTCCTAGTGTTGAACGACAGAGCCGACCACACTCATCTTCACTGAACCACATCTCCCGATAAGATCGATCAGATCCTTGTAAGTCAATCCGACGAATTGAATGGGTCTTGCTTTCGGCGAGAAAAATTGGTAAATACGACCATGAACGAAATTTTAATGAATAGAGACGAGGTGCTCGATCAAGAAGATCTTGAAGCAGAACGTAAATAGTATCATCAATATCATCATGTAGAAAGATTTCAAGTGAAATCAAGTGATCGAGTGTAGGAATAATAGACCAAAAATGATAAGTGGGACGATGTTCGAGCAAAAGATGATGAATGTTGACAAATTTTATATGAAACGATGCACATTCTTGTGTTTTTGAAGATTCATAGGTAAATCTATTCACATAATCGTAGGAATGAAAATCGTTTTCTGGAGGGCATGTCGATCTGAACAGAGCGTTGATTATAGTCGTACTGAAGTCGTCAAAAGTATAAGGCAATGTATAGAGCCAAAGAATGTTTGATTGAAATGCGGAATCCGAATGGCATCGAACAAACCATTGATGTTTATCAATCCAGAAGGAACTTCGAAATGAATCAATGACGTGATTGATTTGTTGTTCCTTGTTCGTATAATTGTCAAGTACAATGCGCGTTTTCCATTGAAATACTTTGAGTTTAGGTAAAGAATCAGTTATGATCTGTTCCCATTGATATCCATTTAAATCCATGTTTGACGTCTCAACTTTCAAATGCGAAAGATTGGGCATATTTTGCAAAAGATTCATTAATGGGTGTAGGAAGTCTGAGATACTAACTTTTAATGTGATCATCGATGGAACCGGAGATGATAGTGGTTGATCAAAAGAGCAGTCGATCGAATCCACATGGAAGTATCGAAGATGAGGGGTATGTTGAAACAAGTTATTCAATTCACTTAAAAGAAAGTTGTGTTTTGCAATAAAGAGACATTCGAGAGATGATGAGATCATTTTTAATAGAGGAAACGATCTTCCATATTTGTGAAAAAAGATACCAAGATGACAACGAATAAGTTTTGGTAGATTCCAAATGATGTCAATCATCTTTCTATACCTTATTCGACTTTCTCCCAAGTAGCATTCGATTAATTTAAGATCAGTGAGATTCGGAAGATGGCGAAGATCATCAAGCATCTGTATCAGTGTTTCTGGTGTATACAAGTTGAATAAAGAAAGCGATTGTAATTGAATGAATTGACAAATCGTGAAGCCATGTGAAAGAAAAAGTTCTATTTGTTGTGGAGTGTCGCCATCGTTAGAAAGCCGGAGTGAAATGATTCGATCGATTATCGATGGAAGATGTTGTTGATGTACAATGTCAAAATCCCGTTTCGACACAGATCGAAAATCAAGATGACCATAGACTCGAACGTGAGTGAAGATAAGGCTATTGAAGCGATTATTGAGACCATGAAATGCTCGAAAAATATGAACTATGGAGAGAAACATGTATACATCGAGTAGCAATTCGTTGCACAATGATTCCAAATTCATCTCTGTTTTTCTTCGTTGCCTTTGAATCAGACACAACTTGAATCGAACGAAATGCTGCTAGCTTATATACTAAAATGCAAAAAAAGAAAAGACGGATGTCGTTTTTTTCTTCATCGACTTGCTACCTTATCAAACGTGTTTTGACACAGAAGATGACGAATATCACGTTTATTTCTGCTCTCATCAGTCTTTGTAGATAAAACTATCAAATAATTGCGTGAAAACAATTAAAGAAATTTACTACTTCTTTAATGCTAGTCACTGTTTTCTCGATTCAATCAGATTAATTTGTCAAGACAACAGCAAATTGACGTAGGAGAGATGCAAGTTCCTCCGATTTTCACTTAGCAGTATATCAGTCTTGATCATATCTCGCAGAATAATGTGACTTCTAGCTAATGTCTTTGCATTTATTCTGTCAAATATAACTGCATTGGTGCTTTTTCGAACAACTCGGCCTGATTAATGATTGATCGCGGAAATAATGAGAAAATACATGATGCTAGAGCGATGTTTTTATTTTATTTTACTCATTATTGTGATCGCCTAACTACAAGATCGAAAATGCCCAATGACCACAAATAACAGCTATTTTCAACTCTATATACACGGATTATTTTGTCAAGTGTTACCGTGCTTGTCCATCGAAATTTCTTCCACCTTTCTCAATTTTTGAATTGAAATTTTTACGTAAAACAACTTGACTATCTTATGAAGAGTCGTGATGAAATGATGAACAAATAGTAAGACTCATAAATATTAAGTGTTGGACATCAATCAAGCTTAATGCAAAACAGTGAAGCTTAAATAAATGTTTATTAGATATAATTAACATTTCAAATAGTTATAGAGATTTGACGCCGTATCTTTCGAAAAACTGACAAGGTTTTACCATTTTTCTACGCACATTGTGTTATATACATCATTGTTCTTTACCATCAATTTCAAAAGGCACATGAGACCGTTCTCGTTCTGTTATAAAATATACTATCAGTCTGTTTTTCTCTCGCAGCACTATGGCAAATAGAAAGGGAAAAAGGATTTTTTTGTTCTAACAGTGGTAATAAAGAGATATCTGCCACGTGCGCAGAGAGAGCACCGTCATCGACAGAAAAAGGTCAAATAGAAGCCACTTTTTCGTTCGAATTTTCATCCTTACATTTGCAAAGTAATACAGAACGCATGGGCGAAAGATAGTTATTATATGAATCTTAGCAGCTTTGGCTGTTGGTAATTTTAATTGGTAATAGACTTTTGTCTCAAAAGCAAACATTTTCAGATGATGGAGTGTTTTTCAGGCGGCATTCATTACATCTTGTAGATCATCATGAACTATGTCTATTCTGAAGAAAGTTCGTGTTTATGGCTTGTTTCTGAAGAGATCGAGCGTTATTGATAGAGTTTTTGTCGAAGGAGTCGGCCTTTTCAGTAAGACAATATTGTCAAATTTTGATCTGAAATTTTAGCTACATATAAACGTCATGGAGACTAGTATGTATAAAAAATTTCAAAACTTTTAAGCTATACATCTTTCCAAGATATAAAGCTTTCAAAAGCTATATGTTGTACAGTCTATCTATCGAACACGGCATATACTTTCAAAACTCCATATATCGAAGAGACAGAGTTTAAAAATTCTGCAATTTTTTATATAAACTTGTCTGAATAACATTTACATGTAGCCAGAGTTTCAGGTCGGAATTTGATAATATTGCCTTGCTGAAAATATCGGATCCTTTAGCGAAAATTTTCAAACCATGTAATCTCCTCAGAAACAAGCTATGGACACGAAATATTTTCAGGGTAAAAATAGTTCATAAAAATCTGTAAGATGCGCTGAGTGTCGAATGAGAAGCACTTCAACACTTGGATGTTTCCTCATCATCTTCTGTTAAGTGTGACCGTGACTATGGCTGACGAGTGAGTGCAGGATCACACATGCTCTTGCCCTATTAGGCTAACGAAAAGAAGAAGTCGATTATCATTTTATTTTCATTGCATACATTTCCTGAGACATTTGACGACGAGAAAAAAATGCCATGTGTGGTCCCCGACTACAACCAGACAAAATACATTGTTGATCAATACATTGACTATTATACAGTGCGACAAATCAATCGACGATGGCCAATGATGATATTTTATAACATGATTGATACTTTCGCAATAAACACGACAGCAGTTTGTTTGTATCGAAATACAACATGAAATACGGAAAAAACAGTATCCGACGTATATTCTTACGATGGAAGGTCGCCCCAAGTTTGAGTCTCAGTTTTGAGCGAGATATATACCAGTTTATAGAGCTTGACGAGTTGATATCTGATCTATTGTAGTAGTGAATTTCTTAATTTGGGATAAGTTTCGAGACACGTATTAGAAATTTGAGACTTCAAAAGCACTGCAAGTCTAAATGGTCATGATACAATATCACATGCGATAGTTTTTTCTTATATTATTTTACAAGAATAGAAGAACCGTATTCCCTTGTAAAACTGAATGCCATCATCGCTCGGAAAATGACTGGTAAAGTTATTACGTGTGAAGATATATTAGCGATCCCGATAGAAAACGTTGTTTTATCCCCAGAATTTGAAGGTAGCTTGTGCAATCACTATTCAATAGTAGCTGGTATGTCAACGCTATATTCTAACAAAGGAGGATTTTGGAGGATTATCATTGAAAATATTAAGGAGGATCTGATGTAAAAAAGGAGGAATATAGGAGGATTTCCGTCTTCTCGAAAAAAAGACTCCTACGCAAGTTCGAGCTTATTAGTATTCTGAATACATTTTATTAAAACATTTAACATAATTTCAACAAATGTTTATATATAAATTTTAAACAAANATTTTAGATTTAGTAGTTTGGTGATGAGGTTGATAATTTGGCCCGAATATTATTAGGTTTTTAACTGATAATAGGAAGAAAGCAAATTGAGTCACCCGACCAGGCTGGTCATCCCCATATATATATATATATATATACAAGATAAGTGTACGTCATAAGTAAAAATGTCTCTCATCAAGTCAAGTAAAGGAAACGATCGACTTCTTCTGGATGGCTTCCGTTATCGCCGAGAGAGGACAGTATGGCGTTGTGTAAAGGACAAGTGTAAAGGTCGTGCTCGTTCTGATGGAAATACGTTTAAAATGTACCAAGATCGTGTATGTCAGGCGTCAGATCCGGACGAAATTGAGAAAGCTTTATTTAATTATGAAATTAGGACGAAAGCCGCAGAATGTCATGCTTCGCCAAGATTAATAATACACGAAGCTCGATTTAAACTATCTTCAGATGCTGCTATTACTAATCCTCAATACAATGCATCACAACGTGTTATTCAACGTATTCGACGAGATGAAAATATTCCATCAGAACCTAAAACATTCGCCGATATTGTCATCGTATTAAATTTTCAAATTACTATTACGAATGAAAAATTTATTTTATATGATAATAATGATGATAATCGTCGATTATTGATATTTGCTAGCAAAGAACAATTGGGTTTTTTAAATCAATGTGAGAGTTGGCATTGTGATGGTACATTTGCTGTAAGTATTTGAAATATATTCGAAATTTCAAACGAAATCTTCCATTTATAGGTTGCTCCTAAAATGTTTGAACAAATGTATTCCGTCCATGGTTCAATACGTGGAAAAAGTTTACCATTGGTTTACTCACTTTAATCTAATAATGATCAGGAAACTTATGAAGAATTATTCAAAATTGTCGAACAACATGTTACACGTAAACCAAACTGCATTTCAATCGATTTTGAAAAAGCAGCTGAAAATGCATTTGGTGTTATATATCCTCAATGTGAAATATTTGGCTGTTTCTTTCATTTCAAACAGTGTATCTGGAGATATATTTGTGTAAGTTTATTTCATTCATAATGAGTTATATGAGTTTTTCTTACAGTTGATAAATGTTTTGATTTTTTTTGCAGGAACTACATTTGAAAAAAGAATTTCTTGAAAATGATGTTAGTCGTCGAACAATGAAAAATTTAGCTGCTCTTTCATTCATTCCACCACAAAATGTTATTGAAGAATTCGTTCGAATAAAAGAAAATGCATCAGATGTATTAGATGGTAAATAAATTTTTGCATAAGTATTTAAATATTTACTCGAAAATTCTTACTTTAAAAAATTGCGCGTATTTGTCGTCCGCTGAAGTGTCGTGCGCGATAATGTCAATGCGCGCAAGAGTTGTGTGCGCTAGTGTCGTACGCGGAAGTGTCGTGTGCGGTAGTGTCGGCGCGGAAATATCGTGTCACAATCAAAATGGCTATATATATAAATGTTACAGGGAAAACCATAGCTTAGTAAAAATTAGAAATTTTCCTAAGACAAATAAAAAAAACAGGAGTGACGATTAAGTAATATTTTTATTCGTCTTATTGAAATTTAAAATTTTTTTCTGAATTCTAATATCTCCTTTGACCGGTCTCCTTTCCGAAAGTTTTATTTACGTTGTTCTCATTCTGTTTCCTGTTGGATCTGGGAACAGGAACGATATTAAGAACTGGGTTTGCAGAAAATCATTTTGACTTACGTATATACTCTCCAAAATTCGCTCTTTCGAACGAAAAAATTCCGAATCTATTTGATGCTGCACTTTTGAGGAATACATTTCAACATTCTTACCTACACTTTTGTATCATTTATTTATTAAAAACAAAATAGCAAATACTTTTCAACAAAAATCAACCAAGCTCATTCATCATTCGTTAAATTGTAATTCAAATGTCACATCTACTATTTTATTTGTGATAAATATATTTCAAAGAATTATTAGTTTTGGTTCTCTTACAAAATAACATTATTACTATCTTCTCTTGAATATTTTCGTTGGTCAATTTCGACGTATAAACAATAGCTGATCTATTTGACTAAAATGCCTCGTCCCATCCTATGATGATTTTATTTTTAATTTAATTCAATCTCACATTGTCCGAAATGTAATGCTGACAGATGTTTGTATCTAATAATAATAACTTTTCTTTAGCAGAAAACATGAAATTGAAATAAGATTTCTGAAAGTATTACGGAACGAGGATGAAAAAAGTTGTTTCTACAGGATACTATCTACGAAAAGAAAAACTAATAAAAGTCTATATTTTGTTACAAAGACAGTTAAACAGTAACTTTATTGTTATCTATTTCATTGAGCAATATTGAATTAAAGTAGAACATGGTTTTCTACTTGGTTAATGAATTCATTGTTTTTATTTGTTTTTGCTTTTATCTAACTTTCGTCACAACAAATGTTGTTTAAGAAGAAAGATCGAGACTTGCGGCAAACTTAAAAGTATGTCTATGACTCTGATCATGATCTAATTCACACTGCCGTAACTAAGAACATGGTCACGTCGGATATTAGTATCGACCACCTTATGTTTTCGCTATTTTTCAGTAATAGCCATAGCGTTTTAGAATGAAATAACTTCACAAAGTATTCGAATGATAATGACGATGTTGCAAGAAAGACAACAATTTACTCTCGACTCTACCTGCTGTGTATGAAGTTGTGTGTGTTTTGCTTGAAGAAGACGATCGAAATTGAAGTAGTCGAATACAACAGTATATAAATCGATGAGTTTTATGATCCAGTATTTATGTAGGAAAAGTTGTATTGTTATCTTATGTTATCGTCGCAATAAATAATATGGTCATTAGTGGTGAGATTTTTCTCATAATGATGTCATATGATGACACAGAATGAATAACAAGAAAAGACAAGCTTAAGGAAAAAGATTATGTGTTGCAGCTCATTAGAAGATAGCGGAATTTTTCCATTCTTATGATTCATTCTTGCGTTCTTTGACGAAATGTGAGTAATTTTTCATCCAGCTCATGATAATTCTTCTTTTTCTTTCGTTTGCATAACCTCTCATCAATAGTAAAGAAACACTCTTTTTTGACCATCTCTCTCTTGTTGTTTATGAGTAGCAAATGTCCTCGATGTGAAACATTTTCGGTATAAGTACAGAAACAGATTCCAATGACTTCATTCATCGATGCATCATCATCATTGACGATATCAAACCAGTGAATCCAAATAGAATAGAAGTGATAATTTTTTTTATCGTATATTACATTTAAATAGTCTCAAGACTTTCAGAATTATATCAATACATTCTTTTTCTTCTGTTTCTTTTCTAGTTACTTTAGTGTTTTTTAGATTTTGTATTCACATATTTTTGTTTATCATAATATGGTTTTTAATCAGATTTACTTGAATGTTCAAGTCTTTTCTACATGGGTTCAAATGTCCAAATATCTCGACGGTTTCATTCCTCAAATTTATTTTGTATTGAATCGGTTGTGGCTTATTCAAACATTCATTTGCATGTTTTATTGTATAAAAACAAAGAAATTCTTTCCAACTGCATTAAATTCAAAACATTTCGCTGTTTTACAGTTTGATTTTGTTTTATTAATGCATAGCATTCTATATATTGCTGAAATGCTCTATACTCGTCTTATTGTACTTAGGTTCAATTCATTTATTCATCATGTCGTTGCAATCATCATATTTCTGTTGGTTTTGTTTCACCAAAATATGATTTGTGTATTTTCTCTAATACCTTATGTACTTTATTTACTTTATTGGTATCTTCAAGCTCAATATGATTATCTACTATGTTTATAATGACTCTCTCATTGCCGTGGCACTTATCATAGCATGTTTCAGTTATTCAACGCATGGTATGAGACTTAAAATAGCTTTCACTACTTTGTGTTTATTTCAATTTAACATATTTACATATTTTTATGAGAATGAATTGAATGTTTTGGAAAACCTGAAAAATTTTAAACTGATAAAATCATTGATTTTCTCCTTCTTATCAACAACACCGTTTTATTTATACTTACTTAATATTAAAAAAATGAATCTGTTTTTCAAATCATAAATCAAATTTTTTTAATATTTCATTATCGGTAGACTTAATGTTGAACCGAATCAAGTTAGTGAAATAAATATGGTTTGTCGAGTTTATGTTCGATGGAAAGTATCTACATTCGAATTGTGAAAAGCAATGACACAAGAAAGTTTCTGTTGGGAAAATGCAGAAAATAATGTGTTCAATTCATTTAAATCTTTAAGTTGAAATTGTACACTTGAATCAACATCTGTTGCTGTTTTTTTAAAAATTTGAAGATCTGATGTTCAAATAGGCATCTAATTAAAAAAATATACATTTGTTATTCTCTTTTTTTTTATTGATTAACTAACTTCATCTTTAGTTCCATCACTTAAAACAATTGCTTTTGTACCATCAATTTCAATAATCATGCCAGTTTCACCTTCAAGTCTTCTGTTTAAGACTTTAACATGATTTTCAAGAGAGAAAAATATTTTTAATTCATTAACTTTAAATGGAATTTCATATTTTAATGCTTCATGCTTTGGTGAAATTCTTATTGAAACTCTATCAATTCCAACAATTGTACCTTGTAAATTAATTAATTTATCTTTACATACTTCAACATGATCACTAGATACAAATGATAATAAATCATTTTTTAATGTTTTGCTTTTATATATTGAAACATTATTTTTAGGTCCATCAAGTGTTTCTTCAAATTTATTTAATTCACTTATTGTGAGTGTGGATCAAAAGACTCGACACCTACCTTCACACCCACCCCAAGATGAAAAAATGAAGGCAACACTTTCATATAATGAAGTACTGTATTATGCCATACTGTTCAGCTCGGACACGCTTGCTGTATCGACTGAAACTAGAATAAACTTCCATAAAATCTAGTAATGAATATAAGGGAAAGCATGATATTCTATTCTTCACGTACTATAAGATGCTTTAGGTACTTTAACGTATTTTAAAATACAAAAGTCTGACTTTTTTCCTTCGATTGAACATCAACTCTATTCTTCAAACACTTGTTTCGTATACTGATCAACATGATCCATATTTATAAATATACCGTTCCTACTTTTCAATAAAAGCTCTAAAATAAATTATGAAAGTTCTAGAACAAAATGAATTTCAGGTCATATGTACTGATCAATACAGGAAACATAACATTCGAAGTCATGAGACGTTTCATTGCTCTTATTCGATATATTTAATTTTTATTTCTGAATTAATAATAACAACTTCATATGTATTTGAAGTATATTCTCACTGTTAAATGAAAAATAATTCAAAAGGCTGTGTAAAACTGTAGAGTCACTTGTAACTTTTATCCACAATTTCTAACGAATAGATTATAATGAATTATGCTAAATGTAACTCCAGTTCTCTTCACATTTACATTTCATACAAAATATTCCTTCATTTATTAAAAGATAGAGTTTCAAACTTTACAAAACTATTAACATTAGTTTTAAGAAGAACATTTCGCCTCCGTATAACAATCCAAACCTTTTTATGCACTGTATATTACAATTACGGCCTATCTCACTACGTGATTTGGAAAATCGTCTAATATCATCGAGTTAGATCTACAAATGAAAGAATTTTTATATTGAGAGAGACAGCTTTGTTCTCTATTTGACAGATTCACTTTTGGATATCCAAGCTTCTCTAAAGAGTAGACATTCTTTTGAAAGCATTTTCCATAATGATTATGGGAGTGATTTTTCAACAACAAACTTGTTTTAGCTAAAGTTCAGTTACAAAATCCGTCTTTTAGCCTTAAGAATACAAACTTGCATTTTCTTCAAATTTATGCGATAGGTAAACTGCAGTGTGACATATTTTCGTCAAGTTTACGGAAAAAGAGAACAAGCTTCAAAATGAATGTAAATTTTTTTTCATTCATTTTGTCCTAAATTTTTACATGAAGCTACACTTTAAAGTTTCGAGGGTGTTGGTGCAAGTGTGTGGGTCATTATTAATGTGGTATCGATGCGGGTATGTCGTTGAAGGACCCAACGACACCCACAACCACATCCACATCCACACTCCTGATCTTATCAGTAGAAAGAGCGATCACAAGTATGTTATCAAGACTTTCTCTGTATGAGTCGGTAAATTGCTACCAATGGACATCCGGCAGAAATCGATGGAATCATCATTGCAATTTTTTTCGTTGAAGATTTTAGTAATGTATTTTGAAAAAATTGTTTTTTTTTCTTGCTATCACTTATCGACTTGGTCTATTCCTATTGATATCTTGCTTGTAGCCCATGCTATTCTCTGTTTCGTTGCCTTCAATTCATGATGCATGTTCTTTCTACGTGTACCGAGCATTATCGCATCGTCATCCATTATGGTGTCACTTGAAAAAACTCAAAAAATAGGAAGAAACAAAATAGAATCACAAATAATTGTTCTTCAATTGTCTTCTGAAAGAATGTTACTTCTTCTTCCATTTTACCATGATTTTACGTACTTAAACATATCTCCTGTGTTCAAGATGAATGCTAAAACGTCTTTTTGAATCGAATGAAAACAAAGCGAGAATTTTGCTTATGCCTCCATGACTTGTCAGTTATATTTAAGAACAAACCATAATGAATGCCAACAGTCTAAATCCTTTCAAGTTAAGTGAACTTCAGGAAGAATGAAAAATATAAATAACACGCCAGTGTAGCGTTAGAGAGTACTTCTGAGGAAGCATAAATATCTCACTCCTATAAGAAGACCTGAAATAATCGAGTGTATTCATCAAATCTAAAGAACAATACAATTGTCTAGTATGGCTTTTTTTTACAAAAACATCAAATTGATTTTTGTGATAAATCAGAATCAATTAATGTTCCTGATAATGACGTCGCACGTCTTATGTATTACCTCAACTGTGTGTTCAGTGATTGACTATAAAGATAACAATATTAGCCGATATTGTAAGTGTAAGACTTGGTCATCCTTATCCAACGAAGAAGTTCGTCTCCTGCTTACATTGTGCTTCACACTCAGACCAGATATCTTCAGTAACAAGATGTTTTTTCAATCGATTGAATTGTGTGGTGACTTTGGAAATAGATTTTATGAAATAAGTCAAATCCTTCATCAATTGATAATTGTTGAATCGATTGTTGTGGCTGACCAAACGCGACATGTTAAACCAATAATAACATAGAAGATGCTATGGATGCATCAAAAATACTTTGATCCTGTTCGACGACTTGCTCAATGATTCAACTCTCAAAATCAACGACCTACACCAGCAAGATAACCTATTCGAACTCAAACTCTTTCTTGTACTTGTGTTATTTTATAAAGACCTCTGAAAATCGAAAAGACTGTGATTTGAGTACGCTTATTTTGTTATGCAACTCTGGATCCAAACTTTTTCTTGGAATACAGTAATAATGGAAACAAATCTCTATTCTTTCATGACATTTCATTATTACTCAACTAATATCATAATAAAATATTTCGATACTAGCTTGATAGATGTGAATATGGGCATGAGTGTTGGTGTGGATCCAATCGTTTCTAAAATCATCCAAACCCACACCCCACTCACATCCATACCAACACCGCACCCTTGCATCGAACTTACCATCTATAGTGAAATGTGGGGAGAAAAACTCATTCAAAGGTTCATATGCTGCAAAAAAGATGGTGAATGACCTTTAAATTCAAGTATGAACAAAGAAATCGCATAAATAATGAAATTATCTATTTTCAGAAGGAAAAAATGTAGCTCGAGATTGATGAAAAAGAAAATTATTGTTAACAGGTTACTTGACTCATATTTGGTTTGAAAACAAAAGATTTAGATTCTTGAGGGGATTCTTTTATCTCACTCCTACCTGGCTCTGTTGATTTTCGTCTGACTAAGCTTGATCTGTCTGTCAATGGATCGTTATTTCATGGTATTTCTACTGATTATTGCAAGTGTGACACCGGTAAGAAGTATGCTTAACTATTAATTCGTTATTCGAAGTTCAGTATGAAAATAAGACATTCTAAAAGAACATGATTTGATTGAAACTGGTATAGTTTTATTCGAAGAATAAATCAGTTACACTGATGAGGGTGTGGGTGGATGAAGAAGCTACCTACGGTCACACCTCACCACACCCTGGTGAGACGAAGGAATAGGCCGTTGGTCATTTTATCTTTTAACTGTTGACTATGATGATCTTATGGCAGCTATTTATCGAAGATTACATCAAGTTAACGTACCTTCGCTGACGATGTGACTGTCGTCTGCTTTATTTAGATATTCTGATAGTATTACAGAATTTTTCAGAAAAAAAAATGTTTTGCAATGTCATAGTATTATAACAAAACTTGAACCTTTTTACAAACAGTTTATTGTGGAAAACATCATAAAAAGTTCTGCAGGTTTTCAGCTGGTTTAACATTCGCTGTGTTCTTCAGTTGCTCCACTCTCTCAACCAGCGCTGGTAAACTCGTTGCAGCAGTACCATCCAAATATTCATAATTTTTCAAACTCGAAAAATTTGTTCTCTCTAAGTTCACATCGATTAACGTGGCACCTCTTTGGGTCGCTAATTCCGGTAATCCAGCAGCAGGATAAACTTGAGCAGAAGTACCAACAATGATCATCACGTCGCCAGGTCCCAATTTTTGTGTTGCTAGCTCTGCACCTATCCATTGATCTTGGGGTAAACTTTCCGTGAATAATACACAATCAGGACGTAAAGTAGAACCACATCCTTCGACATGACACACAGGAGACTTTCTTGGAAGATTTGTTTCTCCTTCAAAATCATAAATATGACCGTTGGTGATACATCGACTACGTCTGACAGTTCCATGTACTTCAAACACTCGATGAGGATTAGAACCGGCGCTCTGATGCAAACCATCGACATTTTGTGTTATAATAGACATCTCAGGATATATTTTTTGTAAACGTGCGAGTGCTCTGTGACCTTCATTCGGTTGTGCATCACGTATTGGATTATAAAATTTGTCAATATATTGACTCCAAGCAAAGCCTGGAGTCCATTTCCAACCGATTGGTGTGCCAAACCATCCTAATACAATAAAACCCAGAGCACCGTTCCATAAGCCACTTCCACCTTGGAAAGTTCCAATACCAGATTCTGCCGACATACCTGCACCAGTAAAGCAAACTATATGTCGTGCATTGGCGATGATTTGAGCACATTTATCCAGCATGTCAGGATCAGTTGTCATCAGGAATGGTTTTTTAAATTATAGTCAAGCAGTTCTAAAAAAGAAAAAAAAAGATTGCATTATTGTAATCTGTCGTTTCTAAGATGCATGTGTTGTGACTTTTCTTCTTTTTGTCAAAAAATGACTCGCATATAGATCCAGTCTTACAGTATTCTTATCTACTACAACTAAGCTTGGTTTTGATGTGATGGGTGAAAGCATGTGTTTCTATTGTATCAATAATGGGTATAAGAACACGATCATCAACACGCGTACCAAGAGTAAAGCCCAACCTCACCCTGATTTGAGTGCTAATCTAACCCTCTTACAAATTTCTCTCTTTTTCTTGTTCAGTATAAAACACATACATCGCTAACTACGGTAGACATTCATTTTGCCGTTAACGATGACCTCGACGACAATGCATTTCACAAAGAAATAGAAGATGAATGACACCAGACGTATAAAAAAAGAAAAAAAATCGTACAGCAGGTAAACTCTTGTTTACGCAGGTATTCCATAAAACATATATTTACATCCTCTAAATAATGAAGGCAGAATACGTTGAATCATATTAAGATTACGAAACAATAGACAATACAGACATAATTAAAAAGAGACATATTGTATATCGAAAAAAAGCAGAAAACTTTGTCCATAAACAATAATTTAAAAGAAGACACGAAGTCTATAAAAAAAATAGACACGCACAAACGAGAAAACAAGAAACACCAGTGATGCGAAACAATATGAAATAAAAGAATCGTTCAATTAAGCATTGAACACTTTCGACACGAAAAAAAATTTTCTTTTTTGATCGAGTTTTACGCAATGCTTTATCAGAAGAAATCGCATAAAAAAAAAAACTTTTTTCTTTGCGACCCGCTTTTATTTTTGTTCGCACTTTTAGCTGCATATTGATTATTTTGATTGAAATAATTTGAATCGATTTCTTATGGTTGAAACTGTTGCTGTCATAGTTGAAAAATCCAAAATGTAGAAGGAGACAGTTGCGAACCGTTCCAAGTCGAAAGACCTTATTGCATTGAATCGATCATATTTAAAAATTGATAAAACTAATCTACAACAAACGTTGAAAAATAGATTGGAATATCATCGGGAAGAGTCAAGCTGAACAGCATTGCAGTTAATACAAAACTTGAACGTAATGCCTTACATTTCTAAGTGTAAAATTGATACAAGAATAAAAATTCGTGTGCGTGGATATCAGAGCCTCAAAAGACGATCCTAAAATAGAATTGAAACATAAGCTTTACAGCTGAATGTCAGTGTAAGGTTTTCAATAGCGTAGCATACCGTTGCATCAAGACAGACATCATGAAGTCTATGATTGACAAAGCTGAGTTCGACGTCAAAGTCTAATACATAACAAAATGGTGCTAACCATGAACCCCATCACCATCCAGAGATAAACCATGTCGTCTATCAGTTAATCTGAAATCTGTGATGTTATACCGTATTCGCCATGCTCTGATCTTCAATTTCATGTTTAGTAAGAGCATATGAAATAGTACCTTGTTCAAGGTGCATACCTTGTAAGTAAAAGAAGATTTACTGGCATAGATTGTATGTATTATTTTTGGACTAGTTTTTGAACTAGAGTATCAGTTGTTAGATCATAGGATGTAATAATGAGTCGTGTGATGATGTAGACGAAAAAAAAAGAAATATGAAAAAATACTCTTTTTCCATCCTTGTTTGTTGTTTGATTATTAATCTAGCCAGTAGAAAAATAGAAAAAGTGATGTCGCACATTGATAGAAAGAAAAGATTTATTTACATATGGAAGGAGCTAGACAAAGAACAGAAAAAGAATAAAATAAACCCTACTAATACAACACAATACAGTATACATCTGTACGTCTGTTTCAGCTCAAAGATTACAGAATTCAAGTGGTGAGTAGAGAGAACGATTTCCAGTGCGAGAGAAACTAGTAGCCATGACACCCGTTTAGACTTTGCTTAAGGTTCTCATCAGGTGATTCCGTCGGTGGACTAAAAAAGAAATTATTACTCACGGTAAATTCTTTAAGTATGGTTATAGTCAGATACTTGAGATTGTAGGTGTGGCTATTTATCCAACATCCTCATGTATCAATAATCAAAAGCAACGTTGAAGAAAAAATTACCCAATGGAAGAGTATAGCATACTGGAGAGCAGACTTGAATATTTCTCTAGTAATTATCATACGATTGCTCACTAATGTTGAAATGTATGAGAACAAAACGACAGCCATAATGATATGAGCTACAAATTTCGTTAGTAATGTTCACATATCATTTTAAATTTTAGGAACTTCAATTTACTAGATTGAAAACATTTTATTCTTAATGATTTGAAGGTCTAGAAATTCAGCTGCATTTTCTTGAACGGAAGCTATACAGTCTATAATCAGTGATTAATTTATTTCTGCTTGAGTATGTCACTGTCTATCTGAAAAATGTATTTTTGATAGTACTGCCTAACTTCTGGGCGTGAGCTTTTATCTCGTGAATTCTCATTAAAAATATCAGAAGAATTTGTGGGTTTTATATAAGTATATTGGATGTATCAAACACCGAAAAATTCTGATTTCTTCCTCCTGATGAGACCTCTTGACTGCCAGTCGCAAACTGTAACAGATATCTCAATGTGTCAAGCAAAACCAAGAATATTCGAACTTTGTCCTACGTCCGATATTATGACTTTTTATATTTTCAAATTCTATACTTCTGATTTCAACGGAATTTTCCATATGTTTGAAGTTCAGAGGTATAAAGTGCTCCAAGTGATTTCTTCAGCATTAGGGTGTGATTGTGGGTATGAAACTTCATTTCATTCTTATTTACATCTATACCCATCCATACACTCTTTTGTTCTCAACATACGATGAAAATCTCATTCCAGGAAACGTGAAATCATATATTTTTTCATAAAAAATAATAAACTGTTGCGGAGACAGCGTATAACAATAATTTCTTTCGATGAACAGATAGTATGTTAAACTCTACCGTATAGAATAATCAACTTTTCTTTTTAAATTTAAGTATATTAAATGCTGCTTAGTAGTGCTAAGTTCTTCTTATTGTCATATATCCTTGTTTTCAAAAGCCGTTGACCGGTTACTGACAAATCGCAATTATATAGGACAAAGGTCTATTATTATACATTCTTCTTTTTTTGACAGTGTACACATGTCAATGTGCAAGTGTTTCGTCGCAGCGGTCTTGGAAAGTCTACGACAAAGATACAATCGTGATGGACATTAATACAACAAATTGTAATCTTGATCAAGCATCTGTCTACTTCACTAGTATGGCTAGAACCGGTAGATATCATACTAAACACGGTTATAATGCTATATACTCTCGTACGATGAATTCTTTTCAAGTTTATGCTCGTTCTCAGATAGTTAAAAATTCATCAACTATGCTTAACCTTGCCCAATCATACACTTGGAATTTGAATTGATTTGGTATGTATTACTAACAGTTCATGTTCTACAAATTTTGTGTTAACCTGTAATGATTGGACAAAAATGTCATCATTATAGACGATGATGCTTAAATCTGAATTCTGTAGTCCGGTTTCATCAGTAGCTATGGCGGATGTGGTTGTGGCTGAAGCAAACACACACATACTTCCACACACCAGCATCCACACCCAAAGTTCTGGATTATTACATGGAAAAATACGCATGATTTCGGATTCCCTTAAAACATACGAAGACTACATCACTGCTCTATTTAAATTACGACTATTTCTGTTTCGACTATTGCTCTAAATGAGATAATCAGAAAATAACTCTCACTATCTGTCTTACTATTGTAGAGAAAAGTACTTTCTAACTTCATGGATTTTATTGAAAAACTTGAAATATTCAATTTGATTTAGTTCGACAGTCAAATAGATTAAGCATTGTTGAATAAAGGTTTACGATGAAAAACTATCAAACTATGATATTGTTTATCAACATATGCAATTGTATCAATCATTTATTAACATATGATATTATTTAATAGAATAGATCTGAATTAGACATCATATTTAGATAAACGAGTGACTGACACTGATTTGAATTAAAAAATAATCTATTCACACTTTCGCTTTCGATCATCAAGATTGTTTGGGACCATTTTTTGAATGATCAATAATCATCTAATATCATATTGAAACTATAGCAGTAGATTTTATTATCTTCGTCCATTTCATCTTTGACTTTGCTGCTCAGCAATCGATAATATATTGGTATAACCTTGTTGATTTGATATATGTACAGAACTTTTTATCCAACAAACCATATCCTCCGGTGATTTGATCGTATCGTTCATTTGAATAGCCTGAATGAGCACACTATATCGATCAATTGATTTAATGGCTTTTAAGCGTTGTTGAAATTTTTCCACAACAGCCGCTGGTGAAAATCCATGTAAACGATCTAAACGTCTAAAACAAAATCAAATATTCTATTTAGGCCAAGTTATATGAGCGGATTTCGGCTGAAGCACGAAAGCAGGAATCAGGTGATTGGTCCCGTCAAGAATTAGAATAATCGGGCTACCGGATCTCTGCTTATAATGTCCTACATTTTTCCAGAGTTTTTCGGTCAGAAATTCTCGGACTCCAATGCCGAAAATCATTGACATAAGTAACCCGAAGTCAACAACACTGGGGTCGAGAAATCATCGGAAAAATCCGGCGATTTTTCGGCACAGAATACCACTTCTATATTTTATCGATTTTTTATGTTTTTCTGCTGAAACTAGCTCGTACTTCTTGATCTGAGCGGATGATGATCAATTGTCCACTTTAGACGACTGTGTTAGTCAAAAGCAGATACTTACTCTTTTACACCAGGAAAAATAAATGTTTCAGCCATTTCCAGATTGAATACCAACAGATGATATGATACTTTTCTCGGCTGGAATATCTCCGACAAATCTTTCGTTTGTATATCTAATAAGTTTTTAATAGCATCGCTTCGTAAAATCCAATAGATTTGTCGCGCAAAACATTCTTCATAAACATATCTTTTGATATTATTGAATTTATATTTTGTTGATAGTGCAATTTGTATAAGAAATTATCCCATATTGGGTACTACCCGTTTATTGCGACCGGATAATGATGTTATGAAGTTTTGTACAATGAAAGTAAAAGTAAGACTCACTCTTGGCATTTTACAACTTATGAAAATGGGTTTTATTGGTAGAAAAACGGCAAAAATCGTGACGTCTTGTCCTGCCGTCCGCCAGGACAAAAACTGGACAGGACAAGATTTTGATTTTTGTCCTGTCCTGCCGCCCGCCAGGACCGAGATAGCTAGCAGGACAGGAGAGAAAATCTTGTCCTGTGCTCATCTCTGATACACAGGCAACCAGTGATTGTAATCCGCTCCTGTGACAGAACGGAATTTCAAATGTTCATAAAAATCTAATTTCTGTCCACCAGATTTTTATATTTCTGCAATGTATGCATCATAAGAGATGAGTTCCAAAATGATTTCAGGCCATAAACGACCGTAACCATCACGTTTGATCCATAACGGATAGCCGAGACAAATGTTATCTTCAATAACATTTTGTTTTGTCACACTACACATTAATTTTTCCATTAGCTCGACTTTTAATAGTAAGGGTTCACGTTCATATTTCAAGCGTTCTTCTTCTTCTTCCTTCGATATGGTTTCTTCTTTTATCTGTTGTTTATCTGACATTGTTTCTATATAATTGAGTATGGCTGGATTGGGCTTAGCATAAGAATGACCACATGTAGCACATCTGAATTTTTCCACCATACTGCAGAGATGAGTTATATTCTCTGGAGAAGGATCATAATGAAGATCAGGCTCTGCACAAAATGTGATAATTTGAAGGAGTGCAGTTGATAACGTATAGCCAGGACTAGAAAAATAAGAGAAAATCATTAAAGAAGATTACCAATGCCTAAAAGTCGTTCATTTACCTTTAACTACTAGCTATTTTCTTGTTACCTCCGTCGATGGAGCGAAAATAAAATGCATAGTTCGTCAGTAAATCATTGCACAAAGCATGTCCATTTCTGAAATGGGGAAATCAAGTTAAGAAGTCCGTTATCAGTCATAAGATCAAGTATAATCATACCTGTGGTCATCATGAATATGACCGTGATATCTGGAATCGAACTCTAAAGCAGGTGCTATATTTCCAGCAAGATCTGACAATGGATAATCTTCTGGAATATGAAGAATTAAGTGTATCATAATTCCACGATAAGATCCATCATTAACCAATACCTAAACAACAAGTCAATTATTTTCATATGTGGATCAAATGTTTATTTAAATACGTACGTTACAATGTAAAAGAAAAGGATTCGATTCATCAGTACAACAAACACCGAGTCCGGGTACTGGAATCTTGTCGAGATCTTTCAAATCTCTAAAAAATGTTTAACATACGAAAACTCGAATAATAAACACATTCATTGAAGTATCTGCACACCTCATAATTCGCTTCGTTGCAGCAACCTTCGTATTTTGTGGCTTGAAAGAGACACTCATTATGTTTGGAAGAAAAGCTACTGACAAAGTTAATAACATACACAGTATTTAAGGGATACAAGTTGCAAAAAAAATCCAACATCAAGTGTCATTGTATCTGTGTATTGAAGTCATATGTCACAATCCCATGAAAACCTGATAGAAGAGGAAAAGCACACGAAATAACGACTCATCGAGTAATTTGTCGTATGGATATCTTTTATCATTGAGTAAAAGGAATATAATCATAGGTACATACTTTCACCTGTTTTCATCTCTTACTTGAAGTTTTGACATAAAATTGATTTAGATAAGTGGAAAAAAGCCAATCCTAGAGTTCTCAAAACCATACATCTTATCACAACAACAAAAATAGAATATTTATCTAGAACCGTTAATCAAAATATAGAAAGGAGAAGCAATAGTAAAGTCAGTGTTGGAATTTTCTATTACTAATTGTAAGATCAAGTAGAATATATCAAGAAAACTAGCCGAAGCAATAAGAGCTACAGTACATGAATTGAAAACCAGGGCACATCGATTCAGAGAAGGATGACTATGAGTTTCACGATGATTGTTGACTACAGAAAGAATCATATGCAGGTTTCTAGTGGAAGACTTCGTCTCTCTAATGGTGTACGTATTATCAAGTTCTGTTGCCTATTGCTGAGAAGCTGTGAGTGTGGGTGTAGATCTGATATTCATTCACACACACACTCTGACACCACCCACACTTTGAACAATGACTTATCACTGTTCGGAAAATCTGATTTTAACCACAAATTAAACAAATTAAGGTCGTGTATTCCAATTTTGCAGCTATCACTTGTGAAGAAGTAGACGTTAACGCGGCTCGTGGCGAATTCGTTGGTATGCTTGTTTTCATTTCACACCTCAAGAATATTTTGATGGAATTCTTTCAAAAAAACATTTCGTGGTAAAAAAATGGCCTTATCGCTACTTGTTCTTTGAATTACGTGCAAAGCACTTCATGTCATGCATAGTAGTTATACATGCATAACGCACTAGTGTGAACATAGTGCAAGCGAACTTTTTGTGCAATCCTAACTTTACATGTTGTTTTGGAATTTTAATAAGAGAGATTCATTCGTTGAAAAGGTTTCGTTATAGTATAACAAGGCAAATACTGTTAGAAACACGAACAGAAGAAAGTTAAAAAGAAAATTTCTATTACTCGTATTGTGTGCTGTCATTCTTACTCTTCCTTTAATTGTATTCGCTACTGAAAATAATTTATCTATGGTCGCATCAACCAACATGAAGGTCCGCAAGATTGGATAGTCTTTTGGTTCTAAATCCAGTTGATAAAACTCGAATTGAAGAAATTCTACCGTAATATTCCGTTCCTCATACAGAAGTTCCCAAGAGATGCTGGTATTGACAATAGTCATCAGTATTCCTGCGCTTGTCACAATTTACTTCCATGTGTACTCGTCGATGGGAGGCAAATGATGAAGTGTCGTCTTATTTATCAAGACAAAACTAAATCATTTAACGATTTAGAAAATGCATTTTGAAAGAAAAAGATCTCGCGGAACAAGAAAACATTAGTAGAACTTCGTGCATTAGTCTAGTTTTATGATTCTGCTGCGCTTCGTCAGGATTAAATTAAATGTTCACATCGTTGACAACGTTGTTTTGGATAAATGCCGAACTCTATCAATGTTGTCCAATATTCTTTCCTGTTTGTTTCTAATTTTACATTTTCATATTTTTTAGATCTTGAGTTTTTATCAAAATTTTCGAATGAAATGCATTAACGTATACGAGCAACAGGTATCTGAGGCCATTTTATTGGTTACTTCTCGTCACTTCACAGTGACAAATAGCTCGAGATTTAAAAAAAAACATATTTAAGTTAAACATGATGCTACATTCATATATTAGACTGATGAAAGGGCGATTTCACGTAATCGCAACTGGCAAAATAATTATCTGTGCAGTATCAATTAACTCAATCTAACTTAATTCAATAGTTTTGGAGCAGAATTTCCAGATGAGATTGTCTGATCCCTTAGGTAGATTATTTTATGTTGACCTAGATTGTAACTACTCTCCATACTCATAGTAGAAGACCTAGGCCGTCTATTGCATCTCAGCATACAAAACTCCAAGGGATTTTTCTAATTCCAGTTTCAGAAAAATATTTCTATTGAGTTTTTAAAAACTTATCCTTAAATTTCATATCGTTTTCACGAAAAGCTATCTAGTAAACACTATTTTAAAGATACTATATTCGTGTGCAATTTGCACATATGCATCACTTCTTCATTTATGCATCCAGCATTTCAAGCAGCGAGAATACGACACTTCTCTCCTTAGATCGATTCGTCTATCAAAATTTTCATCCCATAAAAGATACGAGAGTGATTACCGAAGCATTATACAAATCTATCGAGTTTCATCCAAATCCAGAGTTCTATATCTAAATATTCAGAACACTTCAAAGTTCTTTTTCACATATTCTTAGCTTTCTTGAGGTCAGCGGATATATATTACCTGTCCTTCTACACCCGCACTCCACACCGACTATAGCATTTTGACAATAAACATCGTCATTTCTCAATGAAATTCAAAAGGTATTTTTGCTAAAATGATCAACAAAACAGCCTCTGCTAAGTTTCATGTGAAAAACAATTTCTGAATACTTTCTTTTTTTGTGGTTAACTTCCCATGGAACTATCTTCCTGCTATTCGATAATTGAAAGGAATATTAGATACAAGCGACACGATAACCAGATGGACGCTATCAGAATCAGTAAAAGAAACGACAACAAACAACTCATATTCATTTTGTAAATGTCTTTCAATCTTGAAAGAATTTTGTTCAACAATGCATAAATTGTATGACTTTAAATACACTGTTTTGCATGTACAAAAGAAAAAACGCAACTTTCAATTGAGTCGACATTTTCTTGATGACAAAACACCAGCGGAGAAAAAATCTTCATATCAATTTAAATATACAAAGTGACGATGCACTTCAACATGAAACTTATTGGTCAGACACTGCGCGTCAGCAAAGATAAGCGACATTATAAATGTTTTCATCACAGTTCGATTGAATCATACTCCTTTTTTTCTTTCATTCGACAAAGGTGAGCATCCAGAGATAGAGTAATGTCTTTACTTATAATCAAAATATTTAGATGCAATCTATTTCGGTTTTTACAATTGTTGTGTTCGCTTTCAGCTGCACATTGGCACGCGATGTGACACTCAATCAACAGTGGAATTTATGGAAAGATGCGTACAACAAACGCTATTCTAATGGTGAAGAACACCTTCGGTATGATATATTGTTGTTCATTTCTATATCAGATTGATCATTAAACTCGGAAATTGTAGTCGTGCTGTTTGGGAAAATAATTTGAAGATAGTTGAAGAACACAATCTTCAAGCTGATCTTGGCGTTCACACATACTGGCTCGGAATGAACAAATATGCTGATTTAGTATAGTTTTATCTCGTAAACTTCGATTACAGTTTGTTGATAATTTGTTTTGCAACTAGACTGTGGACGAATTTGTGAAAATATTGAATGGTTTTAACGGCAAGATCGAAGAAGAACGCAGTCAAGGGCATCAAACATTCACATCAGACCCAAATGTTGAATTACCAGATACTGTTGGTATGCATTGAAACGAATGAAAATTTCGATCTGTGCAACTATTTGACTGTTTTGTTAATAGACTGGCGTGACAAAGGTGATGTTGTACAAGTCAAAGATCAAGGTCAATGTGGATCATGCTGGGCTTTCTCAGCAGTTGGCTCAATCGAAAGTGCAAATGCCATTAAAACTGGCCAGCTTGTTTCACTCTCTGAACAACAGTTAGTTGATTGTTCTGGTAAACAGGGTAATATGGGTTGTAATGGTGGTTTGATGGATCAAGCCTTCGAATATGTTAAAGAGGCCGGCGGTATTGAAACCGAAGATTCATATCCATATAAAGCCGTTGGCAAAACATGTGTGTTCAATACATCAAAGGTTGTTGTCAAAGTCTGCGGATTCATTGACATTACATCACAAGATGAAACAGCTCTTCAACAAGCCGTTGCTACTATTGGACCGATGTCGGTTGCTATTGATGCCAGTCACTCATCATTTCAGTTATACAAAAGCGGTGGTATGTATTTTTCATCACTTCTCATCTCCTACTATCATTTTACATGATTTGTTTAGTTTACAATGAACCAGCTTGCTCACAAGTCCAACTTGATCATGGTGTTCTCGCTATAGGTTATGGTACAGACTCGGGTAAAGATTATTGGCTCGTGAAAAACAGGTAATTACTATGCTTTAGATATTTTATTCAATATTGCACCATTTGTTTATCATCGTTTTAGCTGGGGTTTAGATTGGGGTGACCAAGGTTATATCAAAATGACACGTAATAAAAACAACCAATGTGGTATTGCCACGATGGCCAGTTACCCAATTATTTGTTGAGAACTTTTTGGGTGTGAGTGCGGATACGGCTGTAAGCGTCCATTCTAGCATATAACCCACACCTACACCCTTTATAATATGTTTTGCAGCTGATTGTAATAATAATTCACGCTTATTTTGTACAACTTTTAAACGATATTTTAAATGAAAACGATTAATATCTTCTTCATTGATACTATTATATTCTGAATATGATTTATAATTAAATAATTTTTTTTTCTTCATTATTTTTATTTTTATGATCATAAAATTGATTTAAGTATGTTGTTAATATCATAACTGCATCCCCACCATCATAACATCCTAATAAACGACGACGATTTTCATGTAATATTGTTAATGCTAATTGAAATAATACTTTTGTACCATCATAGAAAAAATATATATCAATTACATATAATGCTGTTTCAAATGGCATAACACTTTTTAAATAGAATAAAATTTAAAAAAGAAAAGAATTGTTTTCTTCTTCTTTGCTTTACCAAACACATAGAGTTAAAAACCAAGAAAGACTAATCCATGTAGTTGTACCAAAATGTTTTAATTTATCATATAAATCGAGTAGATATTCATTGCAATACTCATTGAATACATCTAAAGAAAGCAGATAAAATCTATTGATCTTGATTAGAACAGAAACTGTAAGTATTTCAATTAAATGAATTATTGCTCTTGAGAATTTTGAAAACATAGAGTAAATTGTAATTGATTTCTTTATCTTTTTCACTGACTGTGGATGTGGGTGTGGAGTGTTGATCACCTCTTCATCCATACCCCACACCCCACTCATACTCCAATTGATACATGTTCAATATAATGAACATTTAATTTTACTTAAATATCTTAAGTTAGGACAATATTTTTATATAAAATATACTGAAGTAATTAATATATGTGAATTAACAATTAAAAAACCAACGACAACAGGTAAATGTTTATTAATATTTTTTGTTAACTGATTTTATTGCTGATATATTAAATTAAAATCTAAAATTAGTTGATGATTATTGACAAAAACATACATATTAATCTTAAACAATATTTGAATATTGCACAATGGATACCTCTTATGCCTGAACGACCAAATTCATATCCATCAACACTTACATGGAACGGTAAAATATTATTATTATTGTTATAATTACTCTTAAATTGATTTATTTTAGCTAAATTCTCATTGAAGAAACTTTGCAAACACTTTCATTTGCGCTTACATTATCTTTTGCGGTTATTTTTTTTCTTTTTAAAATAGAACATATCATCAGTTTTGTCATTCTAAATATGCAAGAATTACAACTTATTTAGTGCTATAGAGATTTCATCTGTATTTACATGGTAAATTTTCTTCCCATTTATTGATTCAAACAAATTTTCATTTGTTACTATTTTCTGAGTGTTTCATATCAAAGTACAACTCTCTAACTCTTATAGTAGTCTATTTTTTACAGTCTGAAATGTATTATCGAGCTATAAATCTTGTGTGTTTCTCTTTCTATGCCTATTTGTTTCAAACATTTGATTACGTACATTTATTCGTGTTCGAGTAGGATGAATGTATTTTTTAATTTTCTCATTGCCACTGTAGATTGACGAAATACGAAGATACTCAAGAAAAGGCTTCATCTGAGAAACTTACCTTTTCTTTGAAAAAAAAACGCGCCATTCCTAATTTTCAGTGCATATATAGTTCTCAGAATTATTGGTAGAAATACATATCCCAAACAAATCGTATCATTTCGAAACGGGTGTGGGTGTTAGTATTTCTTAAGATCCATTCTCACACCCACACCCTGTAACGAAAACATAAAGTACAATAAAATATATTAATAAAAAATAGTTTCGGCGCACTTTGAGTTTTTTGAACCAATCATAATGAAAAGTTGTAATTTATATCGAATTGATCATGAGTCATAACTATAGTGTTTAGTGCGCATTCAAAATTCGAATCAGTTACAGAATTTCCAAGAAAATAAAGATTAGTCTTGAAAACTGTGATATTTTGTTCTTTGTTAGACAGACACACTTTTTTAATACATGCCTATTCCTGCTTGAAAATCTGTTATAAAGATACACAAAATTATAAACAAATAGAGTTTTTATACAACAGTCATTTAAAATGAATAACAAATTAAAATGTAGGCGATCACATGAAAGAGAAGTTGTGGGTGGGTGTAGGTGTGGGATAAGAGAAAATACCCAGACTCACATCCAAAAGAAAAAAAATTGCTGTTAGTTTAATAGCGGATTAGAATTGAGCCTGATTAGCACACTTGCTAGTGTTTTTCTCTTTTTGACGCGATCGAAATGGTTTTATTTCGAAATATACAACACGTGTGGCATGGTACCATATTTCCACCATAACCGACAGCAATACGGTGCACCGTATACGATCACCAGTCCGAGGCCGGAAATTACCATCATTTAATTGCATACGGCCGTTTGCAGGCCGTGTGTAGGAATTACGAATCTTTTAACTTCTTTTTTAATTTTTTAAAATTTAGCGAAAAACAGCAGTAAAAAGAGATTGTTAATTTGTATAAAAACATTTTCTGAGAAATATCAGTTTTTCTGTTAAAAAATGTCACCTGCTGTCGAAAAAATATGAGAGAACTTACTCCCTTGTTGATATGATATAAAAAAAACTGTTGTAAAATATTTTCTAATGTGGATGTCATTATCTACGTAACAATGCTTATATTTTATTTTCTAAGATTTGTATACAATCTTTTAACGTTAATCTAATTATCTCTCTGTTTTTAATCATGCCAAACTTTCTCCAAGCCGTCAATTTTCCCTCTTGAAGATAGTGTGAAATCTCTTTAACATCTTTAATATCACTAATCAACCGAAAATAGTCAATTAGCCGTACATGTGGTACCATAGTTATTTGACCTTGAAATTCTTGTAAAAATAAGAAAGACCAATCTTGTCCAAAAACAGTAGGTAATAAATCTAACATCCCCAATACTCGTAAATTTTTTTTCATATCTTCTTTCAAAAGTAATTCAATACCTGCTAATAAAAATCCTCCACGATATGCTCCTCCGCGTAAACGCCAACCTGATGGTAGACCACCTTGTCCACGAGCATTAAAAAAGAAAGGAATAATATGTGGATTTGTTTGACTTACTAAAAAGTAACTACATCCAAATACTTCTGACAAGGTATTTAACGGTATATCATTTTCAAAACTTCCATCTCGAAATTTTAATCGTCCACCATGTAAAGGACGATAACTTATTTGACCATGTTTATCCACTATTTTCTCAATTAGATGAACTGGATGAATTAAACCAGGTACAGCTGCTGAAGCTAATACAGCTGAGGCAATTGTTACATTTGGAGTTGATAGATAATTGAGACAAAGTGGTGGATAATGTTTTCGTGCATTTGTAGCGGTGATATTTAATATACGACCAGTTTTTTCATATGCTTCTTTGAAAGTTAAGCCAACTTTTTCGAATCCATCTGCTCCAGCAAACCATTGTAATTTTTCTAACCAAACATCTCGATCGAACATAGCTTGACATTTAATATAGCGTTTAATTCGATCCATCCAAGGAGCATCAAAACAATTCAAATGAGATAATAATACTTCAGCTTGTAATGTTGATCGTAGTTCATCGTCTGATCTTGTACAAATAACAGCTGCTACTACAGCTCCACTACTTGTACCACTTATTATTTTAGGTAAATAACCTGAAGATAAGAGTGCTTTTACAATTCCCCAATGATAGTGACCAATTCCAGCACCACCAGATAAACATAATGCTGTTGCGCCATAATGAGATTTCATATCTTTTAAAGCTTGTAGTACAAATTCAGTTGATAGAATTCCCGTAGAAGAGTTGTCAGTAGTTAAAACGTTGCTAGTTTGTTCAGAAAATGAACTTTGTAATTCAGAATAATCACTATTGGTATTGGTATTTGTCAGTCGCTGTGTTGTACTAGAACTTGTTGATAAAGGTAAAAGGTCATCAGACTTATTTGTTGTAATACTATGATACATTTTATCAGCTGTTCTAGTCGTAATAGAATAGTCAATTGGTGATGATAAAACATGTGTTGGATATGTTTTACAGACTTTAAGTAATTGAGCTTGTTTCGTTAAATACTTTAAACTAGTAACAATCTCTTGAATATATTCTTCTATAACATATTTTGTTCCAACTAAACTTTTTGAATATAAATGTTCATTAAAAATTCCATTCATACTTTTATTAATACATATTTGTAATATTTTAATAAGTTTTTCAATATCTCCCAATTCTCGATAACTTTTCAATTCATCCGTAAACGTTCGAGTTAAATTTTCGTTATAATATTTTGATTTAGAACGTGCTTTCCATATTTCTCTTCCATGTAATTTATCAGTTTCACAAGCATATTCATACCATTCTTCATAATTTTCAGCATTATTCAATGTTGATGGTCGGATAAATATTGATTCTAGTAAACGAATAAAATATCGTACTAATATGTAAAGAAATAATTCAGCAAGAATAAATGAAATAAAAAATAAAAATATAGGCCATTTCAAAACACGACGGGTGCCAAGTAAAAAGCAAAACAATGAAATAATAGCAATTGTTATGCATAATGAATGTGTTGCTGTAATAGTATAGCCAAACCATTGAAATATTATCTGAGGTAGTATGATACCTAATTTCTTTTTGTAAACAATGTAAAGCACTGCACAAACGATAAATAAACCAATAAACATGGTTGAAATTATTCACTAGTAATTCAAATACGATTAAGAGCAATATTATAATATATTATTCGTAACAAATAAAGCAGACGCAACTTGTTGTTTTCTTCTACTTAAAAGTTGAAATCTATATTATTCTACAGGGACGCCCAACATTACATGACACCCTTCTTCCCAAATATAAAAGTATTGAATAAATGCTTTTTTCTCAACTCCAATGAGCCTTTTTCAGCAACCATTCGAAAGAGGAGACTCTCAGCTATATGCTGAAAAACAAAGATTTTCAAGAGAGCTAATTAAACTTTTCTACCGTTTAAGCAGTTAAATGGTAGCGAAGTTAAATGTCAAACTTATCACTATGTCGTTCGACTAAAATAAGTTTTTATCTCTTGAATGTAACGAAATGCAACTTAAACTATACTATTGGATAGAGCATCAAAAGTTGCATAGACTGGATATCTTTTGGCAAAACATTTGAGGGCCTTGATAATTGTCGAAAAGTATTCGAAAATTCATTTTTCTACAGGTCATGTCAAAAACCTCGGAATCCATTAGAAAGAGCACAAAATTTCACACCAGATAGACTATGTTTCAATTGTCGCGAATCAATTTCAAAAAAAGTTGGGATCATGCCTTTTTTATTTCTCTTACTTTTTTCGTTTTCGCAGCAGAATGAGCTGTCATTTTACCCACTTTATAAGACCATCATTGGAATTGAGAAAAATAGCATTTATTCAATACTTTTATATTTGAGAAGTAGAGTGTCCTTTTAATGATGAGACACCTGAGATTCGAAAATTTTGAGTTTATTCTTTCACTACTAATTAATCAAATTCAAATCAATAACACAGATGATAGACTGCTACTATGTGTCCGAAGATATGACTTTAGATCAGGAATGAAGCCTTCTTTAGTTGAAGAAATCTTTATTGTTTTCGAAATTTCATTGGATGTCCTATAATTTTGCCCCCTCCCTGTAT